TCTTAGATTTCAGTTATATGATAAAAGTGTTTCTTTTTAATTTTTCTTATAAAACTTTTTTAAATAAATTCTTTATAATTTATATGATCATTTTATTTCATAGGTTACTTGAAGTAAAGGAAAATTCATTAAATGTACTATTACACAGTATAGATTTTAATCCTTCAAATAGTAATGAATTTTGCGTTGCTGGTCAGTCTTACTGTGTTATGGCTTACGATCGGCGAAAAGTTTCAGAACCGCTTTATAAACTGTGGCCTTATGATGTAGTACGTCGTTTTGTATTAAGTCTATTACTATAAAAGTTTATACTAAAAGCAATATATTATATTATATTTTACATATTATTTGTTATTACAATATATTACAATATATTACGTATTATTTGTTATTACATATGTTTATTTACTTAGATATATAATTTAAATGTTTTAGGAAAATGGTGAAAATGAATTTGTAACGTCTGCTACGTATAACTATAACGGAACAGAAATTCTTGTTTCATATGATAGAAAGGGCTCATTCTTATTTAATAGATTAATAACGTCATCACGTGGAAATTACGGCCATATATATCAGAATGGTGTGTAGAGAAGATTATACATAAAATGCAATTACATTATTTTACAATTACATTATTTTTTATTCACGATCACTATAAATCTTTTTAATTTTTGAACATTTTTTTAATGCGCATTTAAAGAGAGAAAAACTATGGACAAAACAGGATTCGGCGATACATTTTTAATTTAATTTTTGTGTGTGTTGCTAATAAGAGAGTCACTTTTAGAATTTGTTAGTATAGTTGAAAGACGCAATGCTCAAAAAAATTCTGATTTACTAATATTTAATTAATTACTCATATCTTTTGTTGGTTAATTACAGTATTTAACGGTATTTTTTTCGGACCTAAAAGCGAATATATTGTAGCTGGATACGTTAATAAAATATTTATTTTGGAAAAAAATTCGAAATCTGTTATACAATGTATGACAGGAGATAGAGATTACGTAAGTTTTTCTATTTCATAAATTTAATATAAATAAATTTTTCATATTTGTAGCAGAAACAAAAAAATGGCGACTTTTTAAAATTTAATTTATAGATATCTTGCTTGGAAAGTCATCCGCATATTCCCATTCTTGCGGCATGCGGAGATGATGATAGCGTTAAACTGTGGGTACCTTCGGAAGGAAAACTTTCAGTATTGAGGTCATTCGGAAAGGTACGTATGTAAAAATTATTTTTTTTTATATAACCTTTTCTATTTTTCTTGTTATTTTAAAAACAATTTTTGCTATCACATTCTTGATAAAAGCAGTCGTACACAATAGACTAATCGCATTGATGAATGTGTGATTCATACGTTTCCTTTTATTCACAAGTATGTCAAATCCCACGCCCACGAGGGGAAGAAAATAACAATTTCTTCCTCTCGTTATTTGATTCTATCCAGGAAATGAGAATGGATTGAAATACAATAGATAGAAATTTTTTTCTATCCGAATGAAAGATTTACATAACGAATACTTTTTTTGGATTTATTTGGATTCAATTGGATTCAATTAAATTGAATTGGATACAATTGGATTAAAGACCTGCACTTTCTATTCAAAATATTGAATTGAACGGTATTTACAATTGTGTTGTTCTGCACAGTAAAGCTAATATTATTTTTAGATTCAAAGGCATAGAGATATGTTTCATACAATTCTTATCAATAAATAAGAATGCATTCAAGAAAGCTTTTATTTTTAACATTCGTGAATCAATATTTCTGAAAATCTGAATTCATTGTATTTCTATTTATTATCATTTGCTGGGTACGCAGACATTATATGTCAGAGAGAGTGTGTGTGAGAGAGATAGAGATAGAGAGAGAGAGAGAGAGAGAGAAAGAGAGAGAGAAAGAGAAAGACAGACATAAAATTGACTACACACTATCATGTTTTTTCTAGCATTTTCGTGCGTACCCATTACATTACAAATCAAATTCAAGTTTAGGAGAAAATGATACCAATGACATCCATTTTGATGATGATGATCGTAATTTCAGGAACTCTGGATCGAACAACTCTATCGAATAATCTATCCGAAAGCGACGACATTGAATAGAATACGTATTTTATGTTAAAATTGTTGTTTAAATTAATGCGATTTAATATTGCTATGAGAGTTACACGTGCGTAACGTATGAAACGTATCTTTTTATATTGAAAATGAAAAATGGCAAATCTGAATTCAGAGTGATAATTGATGCACAATCAAAATTATAACCAATTAATTAATTAGAAATAGAAACATAAATCATTTAATAATAGATATATTTGCGCATTAGTTGCCGTACTTCTATGTTCCATTTTTGGTCTATTAATGTTTAATTAATATTATAAGTCGAATATAACTTATTGCATCTTTTTATATTAATTGTTTCAATTGCAATAAATTTTACTGTATAACATTATGTAGTAGAAATATATCCTAAAATTTTGAATTTAACAGTATTCACTATGCACAGGAAAAGATAATATTATTTTTAGATAAGAAGGCATAAACATATATATATTCCATGCAATTCCTATAAATGAATTATAAATGAATTAAAAAATACTCATCTGAACATTCGTGAATCAATATATCTAACAACATGAATCCATCTCGATTCATTTCAATCCATTCTCATTTGCTGAGATGTAAATATTTATGCACTTTGTGATTTTTACGTGAACGTTTCAAGATATAACAGGTCTCAATTTTTGAAAAGAAACGTTACGTATGCTACAGTACTTTCCCAATTTTTCGTATATGTTTCTTTACAAAAATAATAAATTGTCAATCAGTAATTAAGTTGTTATATCGTTCCGTCTGCAATTTGACAGCTTCGTTACAGTGCAGAGTTATAGCTCTACAATAGTTTTTTAAACATTAAGCTATAAAAAATGGACGAATCATAATTATTCTTCTCGCATTCGATTGTAATTGATAAGTTTCTTAAGACTTAAAAATTTTATTATAAATTATTGGACGTGTAGAATATAAAAATTTATAAATCTGTCGCATACTCTGTTTTCGCGACTTTTTTTTTATCTCAACGGCGGAGACCAATGCCAATCAAAGGAAAAAATAGAAAAAGAAGGACTTTTGACGAAACACTATTGTAGATCTAGAAGTAAGATCCAATCAGCGCAAAAGAATTTTTAACTTGTAAATTAAATGTTTCACTGAATGCACTAATTATCATCATTTCTTTTACTAAACTCCCATATCGAGTTTGACACAACAGAGAAATTGTGAATTATGCTTTTGTAAAAATAGAGTACGGCCATACAGGGAAAGTAAAGGTGAGTGTCTTGTCAACGAAAATCATCCGAATATATCCTAATTCCAACATTCCATCTTCATTCAAACTCTGTTAACTGTCTAATCGAAGAATGCTTCAAAGCATTTGTAGCTTCACATTAATTGTATTTTTAGTTTTGTTTTTTGGAAATATAATAATAAAAATGTTTTATCTCCTTGAAAGAGATCAAAGACGATGTAAAAATTCACAAGAAATGATCTCGAGAAAATAAATAGTTTATGTTAAATTTAGTTTTGACATTGTAAAGTTATGATAATGAGAATGTTTCGTTGTTCTTCAGAAATGTCAAATTAGCGAAATAAAGCTTGTCAATAGAAGATCTCGATTTGTTGTTTATTGAAATAAATTAGTTTTGTATTTCACATATCTTATTTGAACTAATTTATATAATTATAAGAAAATTTTAAGAAAACTGTGCCAAGGAAATTTCTTTCATTATTGATATATTCTTAATCAACAACAAAAGGTATGAATATTGATTTTAAACAATGAAAAATCATTTTTCTAGATTTTTTTATAATTTACTCAAACATATGCATGTTTTATTAATACTCTAATTTATGTATACGTAATATAATGTGAAAAAAAGTTTATTAATTATTGGGAATTAATATATTTGTAGAACATAGTTAAGTTTTCGATGCAAATTGTGTATTTTGATGAAATAATTGTTGCTTAGATAAATAAAAAAAATTTTTGGATAAAATGAACTTTGAAAGTGAAGTACCGGATGATACCAGTCAAAATTTGGTCGATTTAGCACAAGCTACTTCCTCACAAGATAATAGTTCATCTCTTTCTTATACTGACGATGCAAACAGATTACACACAGAACCGAATAAAAACAAAAGAAGTATCTCGAAATGTCAAGGACAAACCAGTAGCGATACATCAATAGAAAAATCGTACGAAAGTTTGAGTAAGCAACAAAAATTAAATGAAAGTGTGTGCAATACTAGTGAGAAACAAGAAGAAGATAAAGATGAAGATGAGACCAATAAAAAAGTAGCTGGTTATTTAAAATTAAAGAAAAAATCTCCTAATTGGCATATTGTACCGGAAGTGATAAATCGCCAAATAGCTAGCAATCCATTATTCGTAAGACGATTCTGTAGTTCTTTATATGCAGTAGAGCAGTTTCAACTTATGTATAAACTTTATCTACCCGTATCGGTAAATTATTCACCTTTTAAATATACATTGAACTAGATTTATACATTGTATTGAAAGTATCATTAAGCAATTCTTGTATCATTATTTATTGATATGCATTTACATTTGATTATTATTTATAGGGCGATAATAACATAAATATCTTAAATTTCAATCACAAAGGAAATTTATTAATGTGTGCCATTTGTAATGAGATTTCTATTTGGGATTGGGCTATAGGGAAAAAAAGCTTTTCCTTTACAAATAATGATGACATCTTCGTCTTATATGTATGTATTTTTAGTTAAATATAGCATTACAATTAGAATATTATATAATAGTTATTTTGATGTAATTATTTAGCAGACGAGAATGGATTAAAATGAATTTAGATTCTCAGAAATATTAATTCACCAATGTTAAAATAAATGCTTTTCAGTCCTGAATGCATTTTCATTCGTTTATGGAAATTGCATGGAGCATATCTTTATGCCATTCAATTCAAAAATAATATTAGCTTTTTCTGTACTTTGTGAATACTGTTTAATGCAAATTTTTGAATAAGTAATGCAATTTTTTAATCCAATTGTATCCAACTGAAATTAATAGGTTTTAATTGTATCAATTAAAATACAAAACAAAATTTTTGCTATTCAAAATACAGCTTTGGATAGAAAAAAGTTTCAATATATTTTAATCCAATTTCATTTGCTGGGTATATAAAAGAATAATTTTTAAGTATACATTTCCAAATGTTTTCTTTAAGAAATATTTTACTTGAAATATACATGTAATATACATAATATAATATATACTGCAAATATATAGTTGAGTAAAATCTCTCTTCGTGGAGGACGTTTTGGAATGTAGCCTTAATTAGTTTTTCTAATTTATAATTGTATGAGTTTAGGCCAAATGGATGCCATTGGAAAATGTTATGGCCTTTTCTGATGAAGATGGTCGGATACGTTTATTGGATATTGAAAGCAACACATTGAAAGAATTGGCGACACTCAATGGAAGGTCGTACAAATTGGCTGTGCATCCAGAAACACCTCATGTAATTCTTTTAGCTGGAATTGACTCACAAGTGTTATCCATAGATATCCGGGAAAGCAAACCAAAAGAGTGAGTGATCGCAATTAAAAATTTCAAATATAAATTTATATTTTTTTATGTGTTTGATGTTTACACCTTACAGCGTTTACCTACTGTATTAATGTTTTATATGAAGATTTAAATTGTGATTAATATCAAAGATTAATGGACTTCAATAACTGCTGATTTGATCAGGTTATAATTAGGATCAATTAATATAAATGTATCTTGGGTTTCAGAGATATATGATAAAAGTGCTTTTATTGTAATTTTTCTTATTATAATCCTTTTTTAATAAATTCTCTATAACATATACAATTTTTTTTATAGGTTACTTGTAGAGGGAAATGCAGAACAGTTGTACAGTATAGATTCTAATCCTTCAAATAGTAATGAATTTTGCGTTGCTGGTATGTCCTACTGTGTCACGGCATACGATCGACGAAAAATGTCAGAACCGCTTTATAAACTATGGCCTGATTATATAGTACGTCATCTTGTATTAAGTCTATAACTATAAAAGTTTATAATAAAAGCGATGTAATTTGTTATTAAATATGTTTATTTACTTAGATGTATAATATAAATGTTTCAGGAAGATGAAGAAGGTATATTTGTAACGTCTGCTAAGTATAACTATAACGGAACAGAAATTCTCGCTTTATATAATTACAAATACTTATACCTATTTAATAGATTAATAATGTCATCACGTGGAGATTACGGTCATATGTATCAGAATGATATGAGTTCATCAAGTAGGTTATACATAAAATCCAATTACATGATTTTACAATTACATTATTTTTTATTCACGATTACTGTAAAAAAATATAATTTTTAAACGTTTATTGTATGCTCGTTTAAAGAGAGGAAAAGTATGATATAGTATGTAAAAACAAGAATCGGTGATAATAAGAGAGTCATTTTTAGAAATTGTCCGTATAGTTGAGAGAAGCAATGCTTTAAGTAATTCTGATTAATTATGATTTAACTAATTACTCATGTTTTTTGTTGGTTTTTACAGTATTTAAAGGTTCTTTTTTCGGATCTAAAAGTGAATATGTTATAGCTGGATGTAATGATGATATATTTAGTTGGGAAAAAAATTCGGAATCTACCATACAATGTATAACAGTAGATAAAAAATCCGTAAGTTTTTCTATTTTATAAATGCAATATAAATCAATTTTTCTTATTTGTAGTATAAATGAAAAAATAGCGACTTTTTAAAATTTAATTTATAGGTAACTTGCTTGGAGAGTCATCCGCATTTTCCCATTCTTGCGACAAGTGGATATGATGACAACGTTAAACTGTGGGTGTCTTCGAAAGGAGAACTTTCGGTAATGGGATCATTTGGGAAGGTACATATGTAAAAATTATTTTAGGTTACATCTCGTTTACTTATCTTATTTCTTAGGGACAATTTTTGATATCACATTCTTGATAAAAGCAATACAGTGACACACAGTAGACTAATCGCATAGATGAATTTGTTACTTACACGTTTCCTTTTCTTCACCAGTATGTCAAGTCCCACGCGCGTGGAGGAAAATAACAATTTTATCCTGTAATTGTTTGACGTATAAAACGGAAATGGTTTAAATTGGATAGAAATTTTTTTCTATTGGAATGCGTATTTTAAATAACGAATACTTTTTTTGGATGTATTTTTTGGATTAAATTGGATTGAATTAAATTGAATTGGATGCAATTGGACTGAAGAATTGCATTTGTATTCAAAATTTCGAATTGAACGGTATTTACAATTGTGTAGTTCTGCACAGTAAAGGTAATATTATGTTTAAATTGAAAGGCATAGAAATATACCCCATGCAAATGTTATAAATGAAGAAAAGTGCATTCAGAATTGAAAAGCATTTATTTCAACATTCGCGAATCAATATTTCTGAAAATATTAATTCATTTTATTTCAATCCATTGTCGTTTTCTAGTCGTACGCAGACATGATCTGTCAGAGAGAGAGAGAGAGAGAGAGAGAGAGAGAGAGAGAGAGAGAGAGAGAGGGAGAGGGAGAGGGAGAGGGAGAGAGGAAAAGAGAAAGGGAGAGGAAGAGGGAGAGGGAGAGGGAGAGGGAGAGGGAGAGGGGGAGGGAGAGAGAGAGGGAGGGAGAAAAAGAGATAAAATTGATTATACTGTCATGTTTTTTCTAGCATTATGTGGTTCCATTAGATGACGTATCAAATTCAAGTGAAGATGATGATGATACCAATGATACTCATGTTGGTGATCATACTAGTAATTCGAATAACTTCGGATCGGACGACTCTATCGAGGATAATCTATCCGAAAGCGAAGACGTTGAATAGAATACGCTTTTTATCTATAATTGTTGTTTAAATTAATGCGATTCAATGTTGCTATGATAGTTACATGTGTAACGTACGAAACGTATATTTTTATACTAAAAAAGAAAAATGGCAAATCTGAATGCAGAGTGATAATTGTTGCACAATCAAAATTGTAACTAATTAATTAATTAATATTAAAAACATAACTCATTTAATAATAGATGTATTCATACATTAGTTACATTGCTTTATTCTTATGATCCATTTTTTATTTTTAAATATTTAATTAACATCATAAGTCGGATTGCATTTTTTTATTAATCGTTTCACAATTGTAATAAATTCTACTGTATAACTTTATGTAATAAAATGTACCCAGCAAACGAGAATACAAATGAATTGAAATGAATTCAGATTTTCAGGAATATTGATTCTTGAAGGATAAAATGAATGCTTTGCAATCCTAAATGCATTTCTATTTATTTATTGAAATTGCAGGAGCATATCTCTATGCCTTTCAATCTAAAAATAATATTCACTTTTATGTGCATGGTGATATTGTTTAATTATAAATTTTTAATAGAGAATATAATTTTTCAATCCAATTGTATCCAATTAAATCTAATTAAATCCAATTAAATGTAAGAAAAAGTATTAGCTATTTAACGTACGCATTCAGATAAAAAAAAATTTTAATCTATTTTAATTCATTCTCATTTGCTGAATAGTAAATATTTGTGCACTTTGTGATTTTTATTTGAACGTGTAAGATATAACATACTTCCATTGTTGAAAAAAAAACGTTATATATACTATACTATTTCTTTAATTTTTAGTACATGTTTTTTTGAAAAAATAACAAGTTGTCGATTAGCAATTAAGTTGTTTCATTGTTCTGTTTGTAATTTGACTCTGTTAGAGTGCAGAGATAAAGCCCGGATCTACAATAGATTTTAAAGCTCCAAGTCATAAAAAATGGACGAATAATAATTATTCTTCTCGCATTCGATAGTAATTGGTCAGTTTCTTAAATCATAAAACACTTATTGTAAATCCTTGGACATGTAAAGTCTAAAAATTTATAATTTTATTCCCAAACTTTGTTTTCGCGCCATTTTTTTTACTTCAACGACGGAGACCAGCGCTAAGAAAAGAAGAAGAAGAAGAAGGACGACGCGCTCTTGTAAATCTAAAAGTATGAGCCAATCAGCGCAAAGAAAATTTTTGACTTGTACATTCAACGTTTCGCTGAACTCAGTTTGACTATCATTTTTGACTATCATCATTTCTTATAACTATTAAACTCCCGTATTGAATTTGATATACAGAAAAATTGTGAATTTTGCGTTTGTAAAAATTGAGTACGATTATACAGGAAATATCCCGAGGTGAGTGTCCTGTCAACGAAAATCATCGGAATATATCCTAATGCCTACATTCTATCTTCATTCAAATTCTGTCAACTGTCTAATCGAAGATTAGATGCTCTTCAAAGCATTTGTAGCTTTACATTAACCGTATTTTTAGTTTTGTTTTTTTGGAGTTAATAAAAATGTTTTATCTCCTTGAAATGTCAAAGATATAAAAATTCACAAGAAATAATCTGAAGAAAGTAAATAGTTTATGTTAAATTTATTTTTAACATTGTAAAGTTATGATAATAAAAACGTATTGTCTTTCAGAAATGTCAAATTAGCAAAATAAAGCTTGTCAATAAAAGATCTCGATTTGTTAAGTTTGTTGAAATAAATTAGTTTTGTATTTCACCTATATTATTTGCACCAATTTGTATAATTATAAGAAAATGAAACTGTGCTAAAGATATTTCTTTCATTATTGACATATTCTTAATCAAGAACAAAAGGTATGAGTATTGATTTTAGACAATCAAAAATCATTTTTCTAGATTTTTTATAATTTACTCAAATATATGCATGTTTTAATAATACTTTAATTTATGTACAATATATGTAATATAATATGTAATAAAAATTTATTAATTATTGGGAATTAATATATTTTTAGAACACAATAGTTAAGTTTCCGATGCAAATTGTGTATTTTGTAGAAATAATTGTTGTTTAGATAAACAAAAAAAAATTTTATAAAATGAACCTTGAAAGTGAAGTATCGGATGATACCAATCGAAATTTGGTCGATTTATCACAAGCTACTCTCTCTACCTCACAAGATAATAATTTATTTCTTTCTTATACTAACGAAGCAAACATATTGCACACAGATCAGAATGAAATCGAAAGTAGTATCTCGAAATGTCAAGTACAAACTAGTAGCCATACATCAATAGAAAAATCAGACGAAAGTTTGAGTAAGCGACAAAAATTAAATGAAAGTGTGTGCAATACCAGTGATAAACAAGAAGAAGATAAAGATGAAGATGAGACCAATAAAAAAGTAGCTGGTTATTTAAAATTAAAGGAAAAATCTCCTAATTGGCATATTGTACCGGAAGTGATAAATCGCCAAATAGGTAGCAATCCATTATTCAAAAGACGATTCCATAGTTCTTCATATGCAGTAGAGCAGTTCCAACTTATGTATAAACTTTATCTATTGGTAAATTATTCCTTTTAAATATACATTGAACTACGCTAAAGATATACATTATATTGAAAGTATCATTAAGCAATTCTTGTATCATTATTTATTGATATGCATTTACATTTGATTATTATTTATAGAATGATAATAACATAAATATCTTAAATTTTAATCACAAAGGAAATTTATTAATGTGTGCCGTTTATAATAAGATTTCTATTTGGGATTGGGCTGTAGGGAAAAAAAGCTTTTCCTTTACAAATGATGATGACATCTTCTTCTTAGATGTATGTATTTTTAATTAAATATAGCATTGCAAATAGAATGTCGTATAATAGTTACTTTGATGTAATTATTTTGCAGACGAGAATGTATTGAAATGAATTTCGATTCTCAGAAATATTAATTCACTAATGTTAAAATGAATGCTTTTCAGTCCTGAATGCATTTTTATTCATTTATGGGAATTGCACGGAGCATATCTCCTCCATTCAATTCAAAAATAATAATAGTTTTTTCTGTACTTTGTGAATACCGTTTAATGCAAATTTTTGAATAAGTAATGCAATTTTTTAATCCAATTGTATCCAACTGAAATTAATTGATTTTAATTGAAACCATTAAAATACAAAAAAAAGTTTTTTTGTATTTGCTATTCAAAATACAGCATTGGATAGAAAAAAGTTTTAATCCATTTTAATACAATTTCGTTTGCTGGGTATATAAAAGAATTTTTTTTAAGTATACATTTCAAAATGTTTTCTTTAAGAAACATTATACTTGAAACATACATGTAATATACGTAATCTATACTGCTTACTAAATATATAGTAAATATATGAGTAAAATCTTTTTCGGTGAAGGATGTTTTAGAATGTAGCCTTAATCACTTTTCCAAATTTATAATTATATGCGTTTAGGCCAAGTGGCTGCCGTCGGACAATTATGTGGCTTTTTCTGCTACACATAATAGAATATGTTTGTTGGAAATTGAAAGCAACATGTCGAAAAAATTGCTGATGCAGAATGGAGGGGTTTACAAATTGTCTGTGCATCCTGAAACACCTCATGTAATTCTTTTAGCTGGAATGCTTGACTCAAAAGTGTTATCCATAGATATCCGGGAAAGCAAACCAAAAGAGTGAGTAATCGCAATTAAAAAGTTCAAATATAAATTTATATTTTTTTTGTGTTTTATGTTTACACCTTACAGCGCTTTCCTACTGTATTAATGTTGTCAATCAAGATTTAAATTGTGATTAATTACCCAAGATTATTGGATTTCAATAACTGCTAATCTGATCAGGTTATAATTAGGGTCAATTAATATACATGTATCTTGGATTTTAGATATACGATAAAAGTGTTTTTATTTTAATTTTTCTTATTATAATCCTTTTTATAATAAATTCTTTATAACTTATATAATCATTTCCGTTCATAGATTACTTGAAGTAAAGGAAAATTCATTAAATGTACTATTAACCAGTATAGATTCTAATCCTTCAAATAGTAATGAATTTTGCGTTGCTGGTGAGTCCTGGTATGTCACGGCATACGATCGGCGAAAAGTTTCAGAACCGCTTTATAAATTAGGGCCTTATGACGTACGTCGGTTTGTATTAAATATATAACTATAAAAGTTTATAATAAAAGCAATATAATTTGTTATTACGTATGTTTATTTACTTAGATGTATAATATAAATATTTCAGAAAGATGAAAAATGTGTTTTTGTAAAGTCTGCTAAATATAACTATAACGGAACAGAAATTCTCGCTTCATATAATTGCAAACATTTATTCCTGTTTAATAGATTAATAAGGTCATCACGTGGAGATTACGGTCATATGTATCAGAATGATGTGAGATCATCAAGTAGGTTATACATAAAATTACATTGCTTTACAATTACATTATTTTTTATTCACGATTACTGTAAATCAGTATAATTTTTAAACGTTTTTGCGCATTTAAAGAAAGAAAAACTATGATATAGTATATAAAAACAAGATTCGGTGATAATAAGAGAGTCAATTTTAAAAATTGTCAGTATAGTGAGAGCAGCAATGCTTTAAATAATTCCGATTTACTAATATTTACTTAATTACTCGTGTTTTTTGTTGATTTTTTACAGTATTTGAAGGTTCTTTTTTCGGACCTAAAAGTGAATATGTTGTAGCTACATCCATTGATAATATATTTAGTTGGGAAAAAAATTCGGAATCTGTCATACAATGTATCAGAGGAGATAAAAAATTCGTAAATTTTTCTATTTCATAAATTTAATATAAATAAATTTTTCTTATTTGTAGTATAAATGAGAAAATAGCGACTATTTAAAAATTAATTTATAGGTAGCTTGCTTGGAGAGTCATCCGCATATTCCCATTCTTGCGACAAGCGGATATGATGACAACGTTAAATTGTGGGTGTCTTCGAAAGGAGAACTTTCGGTAATGGGGTCAGTTGGGAAGGTACATATATAATTATTATTTTCTGTGAAACAGTTCCTTTTATTTTTCTTGTTATCTTAGGGACAATTTTTGCAATCACATTCTTAACAAAAGCAGTGGTACGCAGTAGACTAATCTCATCGATGAATGTGTGATATAGTACATACGTTTCATTTTATCCACATATATCAAGTCTCACACGAGGAGAGGAAAATAACATTTTCATCCACTAATTATTTGACTCTACCCAAAATACGAAAATGGATGAAAATAGATTCAAATTATCTTCTATTTAAATGCGTATTTTAAACGAATATCATTTATGGATTTAATTGGATTTAATTATATTTAATTGAATAGAAAAATGCAATTGGATAGAAAAACTGCATTTTCTATTCAAAAATTTGAGTCAAATAGTATTCACTGATAAGCTAATATTATTTATAGATTGAAAAGCATAGAGATATGCTCCATACAATTCTTATAAATGAATAACGATGCATTCAGGATTAAAAAGCATTTATTTTAACATTCATGAATTAATATACTTGAAAATCTGAATTCATTTCATTTTAATCCATTTTCGTTTGCTGGATACGCAGACATTATCTGTCAGAGAGAATGAGAGAGAGAGAGAGAGAGAGAGAGAGAGAGAGAGAGAGAGAGAGAAAGAGAGATAAAATTGATTATACACACTGTCATGTTTTTTCTAGCATTTTTATGCGGATCTACCACATTACTATTCAACTTCAAGTGAAGGCCAAGAAGATACCAATGACATTCATGTCAGTGATAATGGTAGTAACTCCGGGTCCAACAACTCCGTCGAAGATAATCTACTCGATAGTGGCGACGTTGAATAGAATATGTTTTTTATCTTAAAATTGTTGTTTAAGATAATGCGATTTAATATTGCTATAAGAGTTACATGTGTAACGTACGAAACGTATTTTTTTATTAAAAAGGAAAAATGGCAAATGTAAATACAGAATGATAATTGATGCACAATCAAAATTGCAACCAATTAATTAATTACAAATATAAACATAAATCATTTAATAATGGATATATTCGCGCATTAGTTACCGTGCTTTACTCTTATGATTTATTTTTCGTTTTTTAATATTTAATTAATATTGTAAGTCGTATATAATTATTGCATGTTTTTATATTAATTGTTTTAATTAATAAATTTTACTGTATAACATTATGTAATGAAATGTACTCAAACGAGAATGGATTGATATAAATTGAGATGGATTCAGATTGTTAGAGATATTCATTTACGAATGTTTAAATGAATATTTTTAAATCCTGAAAGCATTTTTATTTATTTGTAGGAATTGAAGGGGCATATCTTTATGCCTTTCAATCTAAAAATAATATTATCTTTTTCTGTGCATTGTGAACTCTGATTAATTCAAAATTTTGAATAGAAAATGCAGTTTTTCTATTCAATTGTATATGATAATTGAATCTAATTGAATCCAATTGAATCCAATTAAATTCAATAAAGCATTTGTATTTAAAATACGCATTCGGGTAAAAAAAATTTCAAGTTTACAAAAAAAAATTGTAATCCATTTTAATTTATTCTCGTTTGCTGAGAAGTAAATATTTGTGCACTTTGCGATTTTTACTTGAACGCGCGGGTTTTAAGATATAACAGATTTTAATTCTTGGAAAGGAAACGTTACATGGACTATAATACTTCCTTAATTTTTCATACATGTTTCTTTGCAAAAATAACAAATTATCAATTAAAAATTAAGTTGTTACATTGTTCCGTCTACTATTTGACAGTTTTGTTAGTGTGTAAAATTAAAGCTCGGACCTACAATAAATTTTTAAACATTAAGTTATAAGAAATGGACGAATCATAATCATTATTTTTGCATTCGATTGTAATTGGTCAGTTTCTTTTCAGACTTAAAAAATTATTGTAAGTTATTAAATTTGTAGAATATAAAAATTTATAGATCTGTCGCATACTTTTGTTTTCGCGACTTTTTTTTTATCTTAACGCTAATCAAATGAAAAAGTAGAAAAAGAAGAATCTTCGACGAAACACTCTTGTAGATGTAAAAGTAAGATTCAATTAGCGAATAATATTTGTAACTTGAAAATTAAACATCTCGCTAAACATATATATTTTTGACTATCATCATTTCTTTTACTCAATTCCTGTATTGAATCTGACACAACAGAGAAATTCTGAATTTTTTAAAAATGCTTTTTGTAAAAATGGGGTACGGCTATACAGGAAAAGTCCCAAGCTGAGTGTTGTGCCAATAAAAACCTTCCGGATATACTCTCCCCTTACATTCCATGTTCATTTAAATTTTTCTAACTGTCTAATCAAAGAATGCTTCACAGTATTTATAGCTTCACATTAATTGTATTTTTAGTTTTGTTTTTTGGAAATATAATAATAAAAAATTTTATCTCCTTGAAACATCATAGACGATGTGAAAATTCGCAAGAAACGATCTCGAGAAAATAAATAGTTTATGTTAAATTTAGTTTTGACATTGTAAAGTTATTATAATGAGAATGTTTCGTTGGTTTTCAGAAATGTGAAATTAGCGAAATAAAGCTTGTCAATAAAAGATCTCGATTTGTTGAGTTTATTGAAATAAATTAGTTTTGTATTTCACATATCTTATTTGAACTAATTTATATAATTATAAGAAAATTTTAAGAAAACTGTGCCAAGGAAATTTCTTTCATTATTGATATATTCTTAATCAACAACAAAAGGTATGAATATTGATTTTAAACAATGAAAAATCATTTTTCTAGATTTTTTTATAATTTACTTAAACATATGCATGTTTTATTAATACTCTAATTTATGTATACGTAATATAATGTGAAAAAAAGTTTATTAATTATTGGGAATTAATATATTTGTAGAACATAGTTAAGTTTTCGATGCAAATTGTGTATTTTGATGAAATAAAGTTTGGATAAATAAAAAAAATTTTTGTATAAAATGAACTTTGAAAATAAAGTACCGGATAATACCAGTCGAAATTTGATCGATTTATCACAAGCTACTACCTCACAAGATAATAGTTCATTTCTTTCTTATACTAACGAAGCAAACATATTGCACACAGATCAGAATGAAATCAAAAGAAGTATCTCGAAATTTCAAGTACAAAGCGACACATCAATAGAAAAATCGGACGATTGTTCAGAAGTTTTGTGTAAGCGACAAAAATTAAATGAAAGTGTGTGCAATACCAGTGAAGAAAATGACAATACAGTGACGTTTCAAACAAACAAATTATTAGCGGAGCAGCAAAATTATCATTTGATAAATGCGTCAGTTAAGAACGAGTCATCGAATTCAAATTTAGAAGAAAATTCAGAAACTGCTAATAATTACCAATCTAATCCACGTAAACATGAAGGTTTTTTTATACTTTTTTAAATATTTGCATTATTTGGTTTCTGTAAGATGTAAAAGTTTGAATTTTAAACAGATAATTTGAATAAATGGGAAGCTACTAACAAGGATGAAAGGGAGAAACAAAAAGAAGATAAAAATGAAGATGAGAAAAACAAAAAAATAGCTGATTATTTAAAATTAAAAAAAAAAAACTTTAATTGGCATATTGTACCGGAAGTGATAAATCGCCAAATAGGTAGCAATCCATTATTCGAAAGACGATTCTATAGTTCTTCATATGCAATAGAGCAGTTCCAACTTACGTATAAACTTTATTTACCCGTATCGGTAAATTATTTACCTTTTAAATATACATTGAACTACACTACATTTATGCATTGTATTGAAAGTATCATTAAGCAATTCTTGTATCATTATTTATTGATATGCATTTACATTTGATTATTATTTATAGGGCGATAATAACATAAATATCTTAAATTTCAATCACAAAGGAAATTTATTAATGTGTGCCGTTAATAATGAGATTTTCATTTGGGATTGGGCTATAGGGAAAAAAAGCTTTTCCCTTACAAATAATGATGACACCTTCATCTTAGATGTATGCATTTTTAATTAAATATAGCATTGTAATTAGAATGTTGTATAATAGTTACTTTGTTGTAATTATTCAGCAAACAAGAATGGAAATGAATTCAGATTTTCAGAAATATTCATTCTCGAATGTTAAAATGAATGCTTTACAATACTGAATGCATTTATATTCATATATAGGAATTGCATGGAGCATAATCTCTATGCCATTCAATTCAAAAATAATAATAGCTTTTCTGTACTTTGTGAATACTGTTTAATGCAAATTTTTGAATAAGAAATGCAATTTTTTAATCCTATTGTATAAAACTGAAATTAATTAAATTCAATTCAATTCAATTAAATCCAAAAAAAAGTTTTTTTTAAAGAAAAATCTTTTTCAAGGATACGTTCCAAAATGTTTTCTCTAAGGAATATTTAACTTCTAATATACATGTAATATACGTAATATATGCTGCAAATATATAATCCATATATAAGTAAATCTTTCTCGGTGAAGGATGTTTTAGAATGTAGCCTTAATCAGTTTTCCAAATTTATAATTATATGCGTTTAGGCCAAGTGGCTGCCGTCGGACAATTATGTGGCTTTTTCTAGTACAGATAATCGAATATGTTTGTTAGATATTGAAAGCGACATGTCGACGAAATTGTTGATGCAGAATGAAGGGTTTCACAAATTGGCTGTTCATCCTGAAACACCTCATGTAATTCTTTCAGCTGGAATAAATTCAAAAGTGTTATCAATAGATATTCGGGAAAGCAAACCAAAAGAGTGAGTAACCGCAATTAAAAAGTTCAAATATAAATTTATTTTTTTTTATGTGTGTTTTATGTTTACAGCGTATATCTACCCTATTGATTTTTTTAATCAAGATTTCAATTGTGATTGATTCCTAAAATTATTAGATTTTAATAACTGCTGAACTGATCTTGTTATAATTAGTAGGCTCAATTAATATATATGTCTCTTGGATTTTAGTTATATGATAAAAGTGTTTTTTTTTAATTTTTATAATACTTTTTTATAATAAATTCTTTATAACTTATATAATTATTTTCGTTTATAGGTTACTTGAAGTAAAGGAAAATTCATTAAATGTACTATTACACAGTATAGATTCTAATCCTTCAAATAGTAATGAATTTTGTGTTGCTGGTCAGTCTTATTGTGTTATGGCATACGATCGGCGAAAAGTTTCAGAACCGCTTTATAAACTATGGCCTTATGATGTAATACGTCGTTTTGTATTAAGTCTATTACTATAAAAGTTTATAATAAAAGCAATATATTACACTATATGTTACATATTATTTGTTATTACAATATATTATAATATATTACAATATATTACGTATTCTGTGTAATTACATATATTTATTTACTTAAATATATAATACAAATGTTTTAGGAAAATGATGAACTTGTAACGTCTGCTACGTATAACTATAACGGAACAGAAATTCTCGCTTCCTATAATAGCAAGGGTTTATTCCTGTTTAATAAATTAATAACGTCATTACGTGGAGATTACGGTCATATGTATCAGAATGGTGTGTAGAGTAGGTTATACATAAAATACAATTATAATACATTATTTTACAATTACATTATTTTTTATTCACGATCCCAATAAATGTTATTAATTTTTAAACGTTTTTTTATATCCGTGTTTAAAGAGAGAAAAACTATGGTATAATATAACAAAACAGAGTTTGGTAATATATTTTTAAATTAATTTTCGTGTGTATGTTGTTAATAAAAATGTTACTTTTAGAATTTGTTGGTATAGATAAGAGAAGCGATGCTTTAAATAATTCCCGATTTACTAATATTTAATTACTCTTGCCTTTTGTTGGTTGAATACAGTATTTGACGGTATTTTTTTCGGACCTAAAAGTGAATATATTGTAGCTGGAACCTATCAGAATATATCTATTTGGGCAAAAAATTCGGAATCTGTTATAGAATATATGGCAGCAGATTTTGAACAAGTAAGTCTTTCGAATTCATAAATTTATTATAAATAAATTTTTCTTATTTGTAGTATAAACGAGAAAGTAGCGACTATAAAATTTAATTTATAGGTAACTTGCTTGGAGAGTCATCCGCATATTCCCATTCTTGCGACAAGTGGATATGATGATAATGTTAAATTGTGGGTGTCTTCGAAAGGAGAACTTTCGGTAATGGGATCAGTTGGGAAGGTACGTATATAAATATTATTTTCTGTTATATATAGTTTTTCTTATTTTTCTTGTCTCTTTCTCTCAGGGACAATTTTTGCAATCACATTTTTAATAAAAGTAGTAGTACGCAGTAGACTAATCCCATTAATGAATGTGTGATTCATACGTTTCCTTTTATTCACAAGTATGTCAAGTTTCACGTGAGGGGAGGAAAATAACATTTTCATCCACTAATTATTTGACTTTACCCAAAATACGAAAATGGAATAAAATAGATTCAAATTATTTTCTATCTAAATGCGTATTTGGAATAACGAATATCTTTTATGGATTTAATTGTATTTAAATGGATTTAATTAGATTCAATTGGATAGAAAAATGCAATTGGATAGAAAAACTGCATTTTCTATTCAAAAATTTGAATTAAATAGTATTCACTGATAAGCTAATATTATTTATAGATTGAAAAGCATAGAGATATGCTCCATGCAATTCTTATAAATGAATAACAATGCATTCAGGATTGAAAAGCATTTATTTTAACATTCGTGAATCAATATAATTGATTTCATTTCAATCCATTTTCGTTTGCTGGACGCAGACATTATATGGCAGAGAGAGTGTAAGAGAGAGAGAGAGAGATAGAGAGATAAAATTGATTATACACACTGTCATGTTTTTTATAGCATTTTTATGCGGATCCACCACATTACTATTCAAATTCAAGTGAAGGCCAAGATGATACCAATGACATTCATGTCGGTGATAACGGTAGTAACTCCGGGTCGGACAACTCCATCGAGGATAATCTACCTGCTAGTGGCGACTTTGAATAGAATACGTTTTTTATCTTAAAATTGTAGTTTAAACTTATGCGATTTAATATTACTATTAGAGTTACATGTGCATAACGTACGAAACATATCTTTTTATATTGAAAAGGAAAAATGGCAAATCTGAATTCAGAGTGATAATTGATGCACAATCAAAATTGTAACCAATTAATTAATTAAAAATAGAAACATAAATCATTTAATAATAGATATATTTGCGCATTAGTTGCCGTACTTCTATGTTCCATTTTTGGTCTATTAATGTTTAATTAATATTATAAGTCGAATATAACTTATTGCATCTTTTTATATTAATTGTTTCAATTGCAATAAATTTTACTGTATAACATTATGTAGTAGAAATATATCCTAAAATTTTGAATTTAACAGTATTCACTATGCACAGGAAAAGATAATATTATTTTTAGATAAGAAGGCATAAACATATATATACTCCATGCAATTCCTATAAATGAATTATAAATGAATTAAAAAATACTCATCTAAACATTCGTGAATCAATATATCTAACAACATGAATCCATCTCGATTCATTTCAATCCATTCTCATTTGCTGAGATGTAAATATTTATGCACTTTGTGATTTTTACGTGAACGTTTCAAGATATAACAGGTCTCAATTTTTGAAAAGAAACGTTACGTATGCTACAGTACTTTCCCAATTTTTCGTATATGTTTCTTTACAAAAATAATAAATTGTCAATCAGTAATTAAGTTGTTATATCGTTCCGTCTGCAATTTGACAGCTTCGTTACAGTGCAGAGTTATAGCTCTACAATAGTTTTTTAAACATTAAGCTATAAAAAATGGACGAATCATAATTATTCTTCTCGCATTCGATTGTAATTGATAAGTTTCTTAAGACTTAAAAATTTTATTATAAATTATTGGACGTGTAGAATATAAAAATTTATAAATCTGTCGCATACTCTGTTTTCGCGACTTTTTTTTTATCTCAACGGCGGAGACCAATGCCAATCAAAGGAAAAAATAGAAAAAGAAGGACTTTTGACGAAACACTATTGTAGATCTAGAAGTAAGATCCAATCAGCGCAAAAGAATTTTTAACTTGTAAATTAAACGTTTCACTGAATGCACTAATTATCATCATTTCTTTTACTAAACTCCCATATCGAGTTTGACACAACAGAGAAATTGTGAATTATGCTTTTGTAAAAATAGAGTACGGCCATACAGGGAAAGTAAAGGTGAGTGTCTTGTCAACGAAAATCATCCGAATATATCCTAATTCCAACATTCCATCTTCATTCAAACTCTGTTAACTGTCTAATCGAAGAATGCTTCAAAGCATTTGTAGCTTCACATTAATTGTATTTTTAGTTTTGTTTTTTGGAAATATAATAATAAAAATGTTTTATCTCCTTGAAAGAGATCAAAGACGATGTAAAAATTCACAAGAAATGATCTCGAGAAAATAAATAGTTTATGTTAAATTTAGTTTTGACATTGTAAAGTTATGATAATGAGAATGTTTTGTTGTTCTTCAGAAATGTCAAATTAGCGAAATAAAGCTTGTCAATAAATGATCTCGATTTGTTGAGTTTATTGAAATAAATTAGTTTTGTATTTCACATATTTTATTTGAACTAATTTATATAATTATAAGAAAATTATAAGAAAACTGTGTCAAGGAAACTTCTTTCATTATTGATATATTCTTAATCAAGAACAAAAGGTATGAATATTCATTTTAAGTAATCGAAAATCATTTTTCTAGATATTTTTTTTTATAATTTACTCAAATATATGTTTGATTAATACTTTAATTTATGTACATGTAATATATAATATGTAATAAAAGTTTATTAATCATTGGGAATTAATATATTTTTAGAACACTATAATTAAGTTTTCGATGAAAATTGTGTAGGTTGGTGAAATAAACTCTGACAGTTTGGATAAACAAAAAAAATTTTTGTATAAAATGAACATTGAAAATGAAGTACCGGATAATACCAGTGGAAATTTGATCGATTTATCCCAAGCTACTACTTCACAAGATAATAGTTCAGGTCTTTCTTATACTAACGAAGCAAATATATTGCACATAGATCAGAATGAAATCAAAAGAAGTATCTCGAAATGTCAAGTACAAACCAGTAGCGACACATTAATAGAAAAAACGGACGATATTTTGAATAAGCGACAAAAATTAAATAAAAGTGTGTTCATTACCAGTGGAGAAAGTGACAATACAGTGTCGTTTAAAAAAAGTACATTAATAGTGGAGCAGCAAAATTATCATTTAATAAATGAGTCGGTTAAGAACGAATCATCGAATTCAAATTTAGAAATGGGATCAGCAACTGCTAATAATTTCCAATCTAATCCATGTAGACACAAAGGTATTTTTATATTTTTTCAAATATTTGCATTATTTGGTAAAATGTAAAAGTTTGAATTTTGAGCACAGATAATTTGAATAAATGGGAAGCTACTAACGAGGATGAAAAGGAGAAACAAAAAGAACATAATGATGAAGATGAGAAGAACAAAAATGAAGCTGATCATATAAAATTAAAAAAAAAATGTCTTAATTGGCATATTATACCGGAAGTGATAAATCGCCAAATAGGAAGCAATCCATTATTCGAAAGACGACTCTATAGTTCTTTATATACAGTAGAAGAGTTGCAACTTATGTATAAACTTTATCCATCCGTAACGGTAAAATATTCATTTTGTAAATGTATATTTAACTACCCTAGATTTATACATTGTATTGAAAGTAGCATCAAGCTATTCTCATATCATTATTTAATGGTATGCATTTACATTAGATTATTATTTATAGCCTAAAATGATAAATATTTTAAATTTCAATCACAAAGGAAATTTATTAATGTGTGTCAATTATAATCTGATTTCTATTTGGGATTGGGCTATAGGGAAAGAAAGCTTCTTTTTTCCAATTGATGGCATCTGTGTATTATATGTATGTATTTATAAATGTAGCATTGCAATTAGAGTGTTATATAATAATTATTTTGATGTAATTAGCAAACGAGAATGGATTGAAATAAATTTAGATTCTCAGAAATATTAATTCACTAATGTTAAAATGAATGCTTTTCAGTCCTGAATGCATTTTTATTCATTTATATGCATGAAGCATATTTTTATGCCATTCAATTAAAATTAATATTAGTTTTTTCTCTGTATTGTGAGTATTGTGCAATTCAAAATTTTGAATTGAAAATGCAATTTTTTAATCCAATTGCATCCAATTAAATTTAATTGAATCCATTTAAATCCAAAAAATAAATTTTTGCTATTCAAAATATACCTTTGGATAGAAAAAAATTTCAATCCATCTAAATCCAATCTCGTTTTGTTTGTTTATATAAAAAAACATTTTTATTAATTTTTTTCATGGACACGTTCTAAAATGTCCTCTATAAGGGATGTTTTACTCAAAATGTACTTATAATATATGTAACATATATACTGCAAATATATATTAGAGTATAATTTTTCTCGGTTAAGGACGTTTTAGAATGTGGTCTTAATTAGTTTTCCTTTTATAATTGTATGCGTTTAGGCCAAGTGGTTGCCGTTGGACAAATATGTGGCTTTTTGTGGTAAAGATGGTTCGGTATATTTGTTGGAAATTGAAAGCAACGTATTGAAAAAATTGGCGACACTCGATGGAAAGTCGTACAAATTGGCTGTACATCCTGAAACACCTCATGTAATCCTTTCAGCCGGAACTGACTCAAAAGTGTTATCCATAGATATTCGAGAAAGCAATCCAAAAGAGTGAATAATTGCAATTAAAAAGTTCAAATATACCCAGTAAATAAGAATGGATTAAAATGGATTATAATGGATTTGGATGTTAGAAATAGGGATTCATAAAAGTTCAAATGAATTTTTTTCAATTCGGAATGAATTTTTATTTATTTATAGAAATTGCGGGCAGCATGTCTCTATGCTATTCGATTAAAAAAAAAATATATATTTTAATATAAAATATATGTATATTTCTATACTTATAAAAAATAATATTCTAAAAATAATATAATGTATAGTATTTTATGTGTGTTAGTGTGTGCATCATGAATACTACTTAATTTAAAATTTTTTATAGAAAATGCAGTTGAATATGAAAAAAATTTTTTATTTAAAATGTGTCATCAATACAGTTTAATTCAAAATTGTGCTTAGAGAATCCATTGTTCCATTTAAATATGCAATATGAATGATACTTTATTCAAAAATATGAAAAGAAATTTCACATTTTAATTCAACTGAGTTAAGAATAAGTTGTGCCGTAAAAATTTATCATGAAAATTCTTCATCATTTAATAATTAAGAGAAACATAAAAACACATCTTAAATAAATATAAAAAATGTTACGTATATAAATTTCTGATTTTTAATAAATTAATTGCCTTTATGTATATTTTATATTAATGTTTTTTTATATTAATTACTTTATATATTGTAATATTCATTTACACTTTTCTTTTATTACATAGCATATGTTTTTTTTGTATAAAAGTTTTAAAATAATAGAATTTCACATATAATTATTACATTAATTTATTTAAAGTTTTATATATAAAAATATTTGGAATCCAATCCATTATTATGGATTTAAAATACGGATTCGAATATATTGAAAATTTCCAATTAATTTTAATCCATTTTCGTTTGCTGGTTATATTTATATTTTTTTATGCGCTTTATGTTTAGATCTTGCAGCGTATGTCTACTGTATTACTTTCTTATATCAAGATTTCAATTGTAAATGATACTCAAGATTATTAGATTTCAATAACTGCTGAACTGATCAGTTACAATTAGTAGGCTCAATTAATATATATGTACCTCGGGTTTCAGTTTTATACGATAAAATTTTTTTTTAATTTTTCTTTATTATAATACTTTTTTATAATAAATCCTCTATAACATATATAATTTTTTTTTCATAGGTTACTTGTAATAAAGGAAAATTCGTTAAATGTAGTATTACACAGTATAGATTCTAATCCTTCAAATAGTAATGAATTTTGCGTTGCTGGTCATTCTTATTGTGTCACGGCATACGATCGGCGTAAAGTTTCAAAACCGCTTTATAAACTATGGCCTTATGATGTAGTACGTCGTTTTATATTAAATCTATTACTATAAAAGTTTATAATAAATGCAATATATTACATTATATATTACATATTATTTTGTTATTCAATATATTACAATATATTACAATATGTTACAATATATTACAATATATTACGTATTATTTGTTATTACATAGGTTTATTTACCTAGATATCTAATTTAAATGTTTTAGGAAAAATATAAAATTGGTTTTGTAACGTCTGCTACGTATAACTATAACGGAACAGAAATTCTTGCTTCATATTATATGAGGGGCTCATTCTTATTTAATAGATTAATAACGTCATCACGTGGAGATTACGGTCATGTGTATGAGAGTGGTGTGTGGAGAAGATTATACATAAAATGCAATTACATTATTTTACAATTACATTATTTTTTATTCACCATCATTATAAATCTTTTTAATATTTAAACATTTATTTTTATGCGCGTTCAATGAGATAAAAACTGGTATAATAAAACTGGTATAACATAAAAAAATAGATTTCGGTAATACACTTTTTAATTAATTTGTATGTGTGTTGGTGTGCGTGCGTGCGTGCGTGCGTGCGTGCGTGTGTGTGTGTGTGCGCGCGCGCGCGTGTGTGTGTATGTGTGTGTGTTTCTAATTAAAGATTTCTAAAAAAATATCTTTTTATGGAGGTATCTCTTTTACAATTAGTTAATATAGTTGATAGAACTGATGCTTTAAATAATTCCGATTTATTAATATTTAATTAATTACTCATGCTTTTTGTTGATTAATTACAGTATTTAATGGTACTTTTTTCGGACCTAAAAGCGAATATATTGTAGCTAAAATATCCGATGAATGTATATGGATTTGGGAAAAAAATTCGGAATCTGTTATACGAGGTATGACAGTAGAGAGAGATTACGTAAGTTTTTCTATTTCATAAATTTAATATAAACAAATTTTTTTTTGTAGTCTGAAAAAGGAAAAAGCAATTTCTTTAAATTTAATTTATAGGTAACTTGTTTGGAGAGTCATCCGCATATTCCCATTCTTGCGACAAGTGGACATGATGACAACGTTAAACTATGGGTACCTTCGACAGGAAAACTTTCGGTAATGGAGTCATTCGGGATGGTATGTATGTAAAAATTATTTTTTTTTATATAATTTTTTCTATGTTTCTTGTTATCTTACAGACAATTTTTGCTATCACATTCTTCAGATAAAATTGACTGTACACATTGTCATGTTTTCTCTAGTATTTTTATGCGAATCCATCATATTACGATTCAAATTCAAGTTAAGACGAAGATGATACCAATGACATTCATGTCGGTGATCATGGTAGTAATTTCGGTAACTCCGAGTCTGACAACTCTGTCGAAGATAAGCTATCCGAAAACGATTTAATATTGTGACGAGAGTTACATGTGTAACGTGTCTTTTTATATTGAAGAGGAAAAATGACAAATCTAAATGCAGAGTGATAATTGATGCACAATCAAAATTGTAACCAATTAATTAATTAGAATAGAGACATAAATCATTCAATAATAGATATATTTGCGCATTAGATACCGTGCTTTACTCTTATGATTCATTTTTCGTTTTTTAATAATTAATGAATATTGTAAGTCGTATATAGCGTATTGCATTTTTTTATATTAATTGCTTCACAAATGTATTAAATTCTATTGTATAACATCATGTCGTGAAATATAAACGAGATTGGATTGAAATGAATTGAGAGGATTCAATTTGTTAAAAATATCAATTCACGAATGTTAAAAGAAATATTTTTCAATCCTGAAAGCATCTTTATTCGTTTATAGGAATTGCATGGAGCATATTTTTATGCCTTTCAATTTAAAAATAATATTACTTTTTTGTACATTGTGAATATGGCTTGAATCAAAATTTTGAATAGGAAATGCAGTTTTTCTATCCAATTGTATTGATAATTAAATCTAATTGAATTTAATTGAATCCAATTAAATCCAAAAAAGTATTCGAATTTTAAAATACGCATTTGGATAGAAAAAAACTTCAATTCAAATTTTAATCCATTCTCATTTGCTGGATAATAAAAATTTATTCACTTTGTGATCTTTACTTGAACATTTCAAGATGTAATAGGTTTCAGTTTTTGAAAAGAAGTATTACATATACTACATTACTTTCCTAATTTTTTGTATATGTTTCTTTGTTAAAATAACAAATTATCAATTAGCAATTAAGTTGTTACATTGTTCCATCCGCAATTTTACAGCTTTGTTAGAATGCATAGTTACAGCTCTACGATAGATCTTTAAACATTTAGCTATAAGAAGTGGACAAATAATAATTATTCTTCTCGCATTCGATTGTAATTGGTCAGTTTCATAAGCCTTAAAACCTTTATTGTAAATTGTTGGACTTGTAGAGTATAAAAATTTATAGATCTGTCGCATACTCTGTTTTTGCGACTTTTTTTTATCTCAACGTCAATCAAAGGAAAAAATAGAAAAAGAAGGACTTTTGACGAAACACTATTGTAGATCTAGAAGTAACATCCAATCAGAGCAAAGAAAATTTTTAACTTGTAAATTAAACGTTTGAATGCACTAATTTTTGATTATCATCATTTCGTTTACTAAACTCCCATATCGAGTTTGATACAACAGAGAAATTGTGAATTATACTTTTGTAAAAATAGAGTACGGCCATACAGGGAAAGTAGAGGTGAGTGTCCTGTCAACGAGAATCGTTCAGATATACTTTTATCCTAATCCTATTCGATCATAATTTAATTTTCTAATTTAATTTTCCAATTGTCTAATCGAAGAATGCTTCTCAACATTTGTAGCTTTACATTAATCGTATTTTTAGTTTTGTTTTTTGGAAATATAATAATAAAAATATTTTATCTCCTTGAAACATCAAAGACGATATAAAAATTCACAAGAAATAAATAGTTTATGTTAAATTTAGTTTTGACATTGTAAAGTTATGATAATGAGAATGTTTCGTTGTTCTTCAGAAATGTCAAATTAGCGAAATAAAGCTTGTCAATAAATGATCTCGATTTGTTGAGTTTATTGAAATAAATAGTTTTGTATTCCACATATCTTATTTGAACTAATTTATATAATTATAAGAAAATTATAAGAAAACTGTGTCAAGGAAACTTCTTTCATTATTGATATATTCTTAATCAAGAACAAAAGGTATGAATATTCATTTTAAGTAATCGAAAATCATTTTTCTAGATTTTTTTTTGTTATAATTTACTCAAATATATGTTTCATTAATACTTTAATTTATGTACATGTAATATAATATGTAATAAAAGTTTATTAATTATTGGGAATTAATATATTTTTAGAACACCATAGTTAAGTTTTCAATGTAAATTATGTATTTTGATGAAATAATTGTTGTTTAGATAAACAAAAAAAATTTTTGTATAAAATGAACTTTGAAAGTGAAGTACCGGATGATACCAGTCAAAATTTGGTCGATTTAGCACAAGCTACTACCTCACAAGATAATAGTTCATATCTTTCTTATACTGACGATGCAAGCAGATTGCACACAGAAAAGAATAAAAACAAAAGAAGTATCTCGAAATGTCAAGTACAAACCGGTAGCGATACATCAATAGAAAAGTCGGACGAAAGTTTGAATAAGCGACAAAAATTAAATGAAAGTGTGTGCAATATCAGTGAGAAACAACAAGAAGATAAAGATGAAGATGAGACTAATAAAAAAGTAGCCGGTTATTTAAAATTAAAGAAAAAATCTCCTAATTGGCATATTGTACCGGAAATGATAAATCGTCAAATAGGTAGCAATCCATTATTCGAAAGACGATTCTATAGTTCTTTATACGCAGTAGAGCAGTTCCAACTTATGTATAAACTTTATCCACCCGTAAAGGTAAAATATTCATTTTGTAAATGTATATTTAACTACCCTAGATTTATACATTCTATTGAAAGTAGCATCAAGCTATTCTCATATCATTATTTAATGGTATGCATTTTGTACATTAGATTATTATTTATAGCCTAAAACGATAGATATCTTAAATTTCAATCACAAAGGAAATTTATTAATGTGTACCGATTCTAATCAGTTTTCTATTTGGGATTGGGCTATAGGGAAAGAAAGCTTTATTTTTCCAATTGATGATGACATCTTCGTCTTAGATGTATGTATTTTTAATTAAATATAACATTGCAATTAGAATGTCGTATAATAGTTACTTTGATGTAATTATTCAGCAAACAAGAATGGAAATGAATTCAGATTTTCAGAAATATTCATTCTCGAATGTTAAAATGAATGCTTTACAATACTGAATGCATTTATATTCATTTATAGGAATTGCATGGAGAATATCTCTATGCCATTAATTTCAAAAATAATATTAGCTTTTTCTGTGCTCTGTAAATATTATTTAATTCAAATTTTTTAATAGAAAATGCAATTTCTTAATCCAATTGTATCCAATTAAATTTAATTGAATTCAGTTAAATTCAATTAAATCCAAAATAAAGTTTTTGCTATTCAAAATACGAGCCTTTGGATAAAAAAAAATTTCAGTCCATCTAAATTCAATCTCGTTTGCTGGGTATATAAAAAAACATTTTCAATAATTTTTTTTATGGATTTCATTCCAAAATCTCCTCTATAAGGGATCTTTTACTCGAAATCTATAATATATGTAACATATACGAGGGTCGTTTGAAAAGTCCGTGCAAAGTCACTGCTGATGGCACTACTGGCGCGTATCAAGGTTAGATTTAGTTAGTAGCATCTCTTGGAGGAACACACACCAAGTTACAGCCAGATCGGTCTATTTGTTTGTGTTTGGCATTCATTTGAATCGAGGAAGTCGAGGGGGGTTTGTTTCTGCAATCACGTCCTCGTTTCCATAAAATCTTTTTCCCGCCAGCCATTTGTTCATATTGGGGAACAAATAGTAGTCCGAGGGAGCCAAGTCTGGAGAGTAGGGGGGATGTGAGACGAGTTGGAACCCTAATTCCATTAATTTTGCGACCACAACTGCTGAGGTGTGAGCTGGTGCGTTATTGAAAATCACTCGACTTCCTCGATTCAAATGAATGCCAAACACAAACAAATAGACCGATCTGGCTGTAACTTGGTGTGTGTTCCTCCAAGAGATGCTACTAACTAAATCTAACCTTGATAGGCGCCAGTAGTGCCATCAGCAGTGACTTTGCACGGACTTTTCAAACGACCCTCGTATACTGCAAATATATATTTGAGTAAAATCTTTCTCGGTGAAGGACGTTTTAGAATGTAGCCTTAATTAGTTTTTCTAATTTCTAATTTTATGCGTTTAGGCCAAGTGGTTGCCATTAGACAATTATGTGGCCTTTTCTGGTGAAGATAGTTCGGTATGTTTGTTAGAAATTGAAAACAACATATTGACAAAATTGGCGACACATGATGGAAAATCGTATAAATTGACTGTGCATCCTGAAACACCTCATGTAATCCTTTCAGCTGGAACTGACTCAAAAGTATTATCCATAGATATTCGGGAAAGCAATCCAAAAGAGTAAATAATTGCAATTATGAAGTTCAAATATATCCAGCAAATAAGAATGGATTAAAATGGATTCTAATGGACTTAGATGTTAGAAATACGGATTCATAAAAGTTGAAATGAATTTTTTTCAATTCTAAATGAATTTTTATTTATTTATAGGAAATGCGGGGAGCACATCTCTATGCTATTTGATTAAAAAATATATATATATTTTAATATAAAATATATGTATATTTCTATATATATATCAATCTA